TGGTTCTTGGGGTGGCAGAATAAGGGTATTCACACTTCAACAAATTCTGAATGCAGTTATACGTTAGACACCCTCCAGCTCCACATGGAAAAACTGTGAGTCATTCTGCCTTCAAGAAATGAGAATAATTTTCAACAGGGCACCAGCTCCCAATAGGTTGAATTGTTGCTCTCTTCAAAACAACTTTTTTTTCTGACACAGGGAAATTTCCTACAAAATAATACACATTTCACTACCTTAGAAAGAATTGCTGGTATTGCTAGACTAGACTAGATAGAAGATCTGACCAATATTTGATGAAGCAATGTCTAAGGAGAATATTCAAGTTAAATAATTGGCTTAGTGGATTTGCAGTAGAGTAGTTTTATTTCCAAATGCCACCTTTGGAGAAGTTGCTTCACATCAGAATACTGTTTCCATTCTCCCATATAGCCAATAATTCCTACAAATTTGCCAAGGCTTCTTTGTATACTCACATGGAAATTATTTGAAGATTTTCAGTATCTGTGACTCTACTGGACTGAAAAAGTAACATCAAACCTGTGTTCTGATGTAGAATGAAGATTGTATTTGTTCAAGATCAACAAGTTAATGGTGGTGTTGCAAGAAAACCCAAATTTCAAAATAATCCTCTAGAAATCTCTCTACTAAGAGATACTCTTCTTTTGTTAGAATATTCTCCACATACCACATCTGTATTACACTTAGTGAAATACAGTCTAAAGCCTCTATCATCTATGCACAATGTTATTTCTGTAGTGATTGTAAGTTATCACTCCTACTCTTACACGCATTTTGTGGTAAACTTCCTCAGGCAGTTAATGTGAGTAAAAACTAATGCACCTTTCCCTTTTTCAGCCATAGCCCCTGCAATCCTAAAAATAAGCAATTAATTAATTGGGAGACTAATCCAGGGGAAGGCTAGCCTTCAGTGGAAACATCAGTTTCAATTAGTTGAAACTGCTAACAGCCCTAGAGACTCATGATGGAGTACCATGAAATCATACTTTCATGAGCAACTCGAGTTCATTCACACTTAAGCCTTTTGGGGACCCATGCCTACCGATTAATAGATTCTATTTGTAGTTATTTGCCTGAAGTTCATTCTAACCAGTTATGCAGCCAAAGTGATCCGCAACTTCAACAAGCTTTTAAAAAAATTGGTTTGTACATTACATTCTTGATAGCATACCAAAATTTTTTCTGTGTTGAGAGAAAGCACAGATTCACAAGATGAAGACCCTCCTATGTCACAATCCGATTCATGGAAGTGCAAAAAGGATGAATCTGGGGGGAAAAAAAAAAAAAAAAAAAAAAAAAAAAAGAGAGAGAGAGAAAATATCTTTAGGAACTCAAAGAGTTACATGTACATTCTATTATCACATTTCCTCATGTTCATGTGAGCAGCTTCCCCATTGGGCACTCCACAGGGCAGAACTTTCATGAAGTGCTTTCTCCCCACAGCACTACATCCACTCAGCCAAGGAAGCAATAACTGGCATGACTGTTTTATATACTTAGTTTTATCACTACTTCTGCTTCTGGTTAAAAATACATGAAAAAAAAAAAATGAAGGTGCTTAAAAAAGTGGGGGAGAGGGGGCAATAAAAAGGGAGGAAGCTGAAATCAAATAAGAAAAGTTTGGAGTAGGCATGTCCCCATTTTGCATGGTTCTTCAGCCGAATGAATTCAAGACAAAAGTATTATTCCAATCCCAGAGAGGAAAATAAATGGAATGGAGCATACAGAGGTAGGGAAAGAGCTGCTGCTGGAAGTCCAGGAAAGAGAGACATAAAGACTGTAAAAAGCAGACAGAATAGTAAAATCATAATTGACTGAACATATACAAAGGTGCTCACAGGTTTATTTCTAAGGCAGCCATTACAAAAAGTATAAGATTGATTCAAATCTATTGAAAGTCAAACACAGCCTGTTGGCATAGCAGAAAAAAAGTTTAACAAAGGAAACAAGTAAACAAATAACAACAGTAGTCAACAACCCCCGCCCCATTTGACAGACTATAGCAGTCACTACTTCACCTACATGGTATTTTAACTGCTATCCCAACAGAATTGTTAGCTTTTAAGTCTTCAGACCTTAAAGCTTCTATTAACTTGAAATATTTCAAGAGTAATCAAGAAAAAGCAAATAAACAGTATTATCTCTGATTCCATGTCATAAATACCAAATTTTATCATCTCCCCTAATGTTTGAAAATACAAGCTTGACACTAAGTTTGAAAGGCCAGGGGGGGCAGGCAGTGTGTGTTTCTAATTCACTTTTACAGGCAGTGCTATTCTTATATTTTGATTATGTAGGGGTTGCAGTTAGTTAACTCCTCACTTCTCATGAGTACAGGGCTAAAAAAGAAACAGTGTTTTTACAAAGAGAAGTCAAAATAGCATCTAAAATCATTCCCTGTAAATAGAAACTTGGAACTAAGTTGAGCCATAAATGGCAGGAGAACTTTTACAACAGAAGTGAGAGTGGTGAAAAGCAGAAGGTCAAAGTTTAAAGTCAGAAAGTCCTGTAAGAACAGTGGCTCACCACCCATAGTTTCCAGAAAACCAGTTCCCAGTACGAGATTTCAACACTGCCCTTTGTTCTTCACATTGATCAAACCCTCCTGTGCTATGGCAGCATCAATACCACATTAATTGTTCTCTGTTGGTGCTCCTAAATCAGTGACAGTTAAGAGCCATCCCTGTGACTCACTGAACAATTTTTGCTTCACAAACCAAAACAAAGAGGTGTGGGCACAACTTACCTCCAGAATAATTTTCTGCATAACATCATGAATTTATTTAAGGAATTTTTTAATAAGGTGGCAAGAAATAAGAATGGCCTATCTGCTACAAGCTATAGGGAGAAAAAGGCCCTTCAAATCTTGCAATTTTGAGGGCAACAAACTGCTTTAATTATAGGGAAGAATGGATCTGCCTTTGTCCACTAGTTAGATAGCCAAACCTGTACCACACTGCCCCGTTAACAACTTTATGAAAAAGTAGAAACACCAGATAAATTACCCTGGGCCTTGTAGTAAGCTACAAGAGAAACTATTAGAGATAAAAAGATTCTCAGCTTCTGGGAAAGTTGGCCTAAAACAAAAGACTGAGAACTTAAGGGAATTTTTCAACTGGCAATTTATTTAGCCACAGGATTTAAATAGCAAGTAAGGAACTGGTATACAGCTATTTCAGGGTTAAGTATGCTGTTCTGTCACTAAGGGCTCTCTTATTATCAGTGTATCCAAAGTGCCTGAGGTACCTGATGACTTAAGCAGAATTCCTTGTATCAATCCCAGTTACACTGGTCTCTTTAAAACAACATTCACCATTAAATCAAAATCTAATTGTCCAAATACACCTCTGAAGGAGTATCCTGAGTCAATCATTCACGTCCCAGTAACAGAAGAGATGTAATCAAATGCTTTGCCATTTATTAACTTGTATGGCATACAGATTTTATCTCAACACTGGGTGAAGGTCCTCTTGGTTTTATGCTCAAGCTTGAATAATTTGGACCAACAGTTGCCTGAGATAACTTCCACAATCTGATTTAGTGTTTACATAGTACTGCTCTTAGCCATTAGCCACTACAGCCACCCCACCCAAAAAAAAAAAAAAGGCAGCTGATGTAAAATACCTACTTAACACAGCTGATACAGATTAAAAACTAACCAAAGAACTTTAAACTGTGATGATAAAAGCACGCATACAGAGGAAAAAAAAAAAAAAAGAAAAAAAAAACCAAACAGCTGATGTAGGAAACTCATAACAAGGTATTTCTAGAAAGTTTGTAATTTTTTGAGTGGATTACACTCACTGCATATTGTCCTCAGGGACCACAACAATTGTTGATATGAGCACAGACTTTATGAAATAAAGGGAGAAAAATTTAAAACCCTGAAGATAGCTAAGCAGGCATGACACATTACTGGTTATTCTCACATACATAATTATCTATACTGTACTGAATTGATAAAAACTTTTTCTTCATCTTTATTACATACACATTGTGCTTCAGACTGGTATTCTTGTATAACATATTCACACCATGCTCATGATCAAAGATCGTAACAGCTTAAGTCATATGATCCTGATGCAACACACGTTTAAGCACATAAAAATAGTTTTCACTGTGCTTGTATTGCAACCCATCAATTAACCTGAAAAAGACCAGCTCTGGTGCCTGAACTTGGCGCTCATAAAGAAAAGCATCCAGTTAACCAGCAAAACATATATAACTGTAACTGAAAACGAATCAAGCCACATTCAACTCAGTAAGCCGAGCAGGTGTTGGCATGTCTGCGTACTATGGAGCGCAGGGATTAAAAAGCACGCAGAGTCCAGCCGCTCAACTTGGCAGGTCGGCGAGTGGGACAGCAGGAATCCTCCTGCGTGACCCCACGGTTTCCCCGCTGAACGGGCGCGAGATTTTTCCCCGCTCGGTGCCACGGCGGCAGTCCCTGGCTCCTTGCCGCCCCAGGGCACACCGCTACCCGGGGGCGCAGCTCAACACCGGCAACAACCACGCGTCCAGCCGAGCCGCCAGGACCCCGCGCCGCCAGCCCCTGGGACACCGGCGGCGCCTCAGGGGGAGGCGAGGCCCGGCCGCGCCTTCCTCCTCCGCTCCCGCCGCCGGAGCGAGGGGAGGGGGCGCCCCCCCACACACCCCCTTCCCGGCCTCAGAGCTCCGCAGGGCCGCTGAGCTGGCGGCCTCCTCCCCGCCGCCCCGGGACTGGGGACGGCCACCATGGCAACGTATTGTCGTCGTCCCGCGACTCACCGCACTCGGCCGAGTACTGCTCTGCCCACTCCCCCGCCGAGGCGCAGCCCCCCACCGGGCCCTGGCGGCGCAGCTCCTGCTTTAGCAGGGACAAGGCCGGGTACTGCTCGGTGAAAGCCAGCGCGGCGCGGGCCAGGGCCAGCAGGGCCAGTGACCCCCACAGCCCCCTCAGCGCCCCGCAGCCGCCGGCAGGTGCCATCTTCCCAGGACGCATGCGCAAGGCTCCCGCCTCAGCCGGGCACGGCGGGCAGCCCCGCCGCCCCTCCCACGGGACCGGCGGGGAGGAGGGCGCCGCCGCGCTGCCCCCTGGGACATGGAGTCCTGCGTCCGCGTCGCCGGGCCGACAGCGGCGGGAGCACCAAACCACAACTCCCGGAATGCACCGCTGCGCGGGTCCGGCCCGGCTCCGCCCCCCGAAGGCGCAAGCGAAGCGGTGCGAAGCGCTGGCGGGCCATGGCGGCGCTGGGCGTTTACCGCTGCATCGAGTGCAGCGAGGAGGCGGCGGAGCTGTACAGGGACTACCGGCGCGGGGTGCTCCGTATCTCCATCTGCGTGAGTCGGGGCGGCTAGAGGGGTGCGGGTGTTAGGGGAGCTCCCCCGGCGCTCGGCCCTGGCCCGCGGGGCGCCGTTCCTCGCGGCTCTGCGGCCCGGCCATTTTCCGTGGGCCGGGGCGCGGGGTTGCCGCCTGCCGCGCTCCCCGCCCCTTCCCCTGGCTCCCCGCGGGCAGCTTTACTCGCCGAAAGGCGGAGCTGAGCGCGGCTGGGGAACCGCTAGATGGAAATGCCAGGTTTTGGCTGGTGATGGTTCCCGGTGCGTGTGAGGGCTTCTGTGTCACCCAGCCACAGAGGTTGTACTTTCCAAACTGGTACCAGGATGTTCCAGGCTGTTTACTGCTCTCCTTTCCCACTCTGTCTCTCGCAGAGTTCATCTTTTTCCTCATGCTGTTTTCATGTCAACTTTAATTTAGTAGCTCCTGCTTTTTCTGAGATATTTCATACCTGCAGCAAAAAACAAAAGAAAGCTTTTTAAGCCGTGTTTTCAACTATTTCTAAATTACCTTTTTCAATTTTTGATAAGGTTTATGTGGACTTGTCTTCAGTGCTGAGTTTTGACTTTTTTTTTTTTTTTGTAGTGTGTAAAAAATTGGATCACTTAGCATCCTATATGTCACTATGGGAAGAGAAAATTTGGAATGCAAGGATCTGCAAATACGTCTTGACTAAGCCTTTGTTTTTGTCTGTGATTGTGTTTCACAACATCCTATCTGCTCCTTATAAAATTGGGAAACCTTGTGCTTGAACCAGTTGCTGAATACTTTGTATTTTGTAAGGAATTTGATGTATATCATTCAAACTGCATTTGTGGTTGTTTCCCCCAGTTTTGTAGCCCTTGGCATTTTGAGAATGCTGATTGAAGAAGGGTTAATTTACTAACCATGAAGCTCTGAATATAACAGATAACCAAAAAGCTTTGTATGAAACCTGTGATGAATGCCTTTACAACTTTATAGCTTTCAATCATTCAGGCATTTCTTAGATCAAATATAGAAATCGTAGACAGCCAGATCATAGAAGTCTGTGACCAGTTTGTATTTGGGGAAATAGTGGTTAGCTCAAGCTGAAAGACGTACATGTTAGATCTCAGCTTCTGTTATCAACAAGATACCAACAAATTACTGATGATAGTAGAAAGAGCTGATTCACATCCTTCTATTTTCTCAGCCCAGCAGTCAGTTAAAATGGCTTGTTGCTATAGAACATAACCCAGCTGAAAATGTACACAAAAATCTCTGCAGGCATTTCAAAAACCAGGGAGATCAGCAATTTTCTTGGGTAAAAGACAAATGTCACCACAGCCAGCAACTAAGCACCGCACAGCTACTCACTCACTCTTCCCCGCTCCCAGTGGGATGGAGAGGAGAATTGGGGAAAAAAAAAAGGTAAAATTCACAGGTTGAGATAAGGCCAGTGTAATAACTAAGCTAAAATTAAAATATTAAATATAATAACAATAATGATAAAATATTCTAGTAATAGTAATTGTAATGAAAAGGAGTATAACCAAAAGAGAGCAATAAAACCCAAGGCAGGAAGGCAGGACAAGTGATGCACAGTGCAATTGCTCACCACCTGCTGACCAATGTCCGAGCACCAATCCACCCCTTCCCAGCCAACTCCCACCAGTTTATACCCTGAGTATGATGTTCTGTGGCATGGAATATCCCTTCGGCCAGCTCAGGTCAGCTGTCCTGGCCATGTTCCCTCCCATCTTCTTATGCTCCTGCCTGCACAGAGGATGGGAGAGCATGGGACACTGAAACATCCTTAGTATAAAGTGCTACTTGGCAACAACTAAAACATCACTGTGTTATCAACATTATTCTTACACTGAATCCAAAAGACAGCACTGTACCAGCTACTAGGAAGAAAATTATCTCTGTCCAAGCTGAAACCAGGACAACAAACAAGGTAAGCGATTGATTTCTGATGGCTTTAGACATGCACACTGCAAGGAAAATTTGACTGTTACTTGCTTTTTCATGTTAGTATAGTGTGTCATGTTTAGTAGCGGATATGAACTACATCAAATCATTGGTAGTCAAATCACGTAGTCAAAATTCGTCATTGGTACATGATAAAAATGTAAATGGTTTTCTTTGGAGCTCTTTCGTGTGGAGCTTCAAACTCATCTTTGAAACTAAGGACAAGCTCGATACGAAAGAACAAGTATAAAGCTTATGGCTGCAGCCATGTCACGTAAGATTTAGCACATCTTGTAAACTCAGGTCATCATTTACAGTTATTAATTTGGCTATGGTAATCTCAAAGGCAAAGTGAGAGCCAGCAGATGGCACTCGTTCCTCTTATCACTTAACCATTTGAGAACTGAAGATCCTGGTCTTCGGGAGCTGTGGCATCCCATGTAGAATAAAAGTCTTGAGTCCCGGTTGCTGTGTTAGTCACAAACACCAAACTGTTACAAAAAGAGCAAAGAAAAGAGTAAAAGAAAGAGCAAAGAATCACATGTTGCTAGCAAATTGGAATTCTGTCCACCTTTCTTCACACAGCTTCAGATTGGTACCATTTTTCACTTGCTCCTACCAGCCTGTTTGCTCTGTGTTGTGGGTTATCATGGTGTCACATCCCGCTCAGACAAGGGACACAAGTGACTTAGATTCATAAATCCCCAGGAGAGTGGACAAAGGTGAGACGAGTCTTAAAGCCCATGCACAGACATTTATTAATTTCCCCCAATGTATTAACTGGATACATGATAATTGTCTAAGTATATGATGAATTATGGCAAGTGATATAGTATACCTTGCGTTACTTTTGTATTAGTTTTGGCACTGCACTAACCCTCTGCAGGTAGCCTACTCCATGCAGGTAACGCTGTGCTCTGGCCAGAGACCTGAAAAGTTGGTCAGCATCACGCTACTGACAACAAAAAGTAGTCAAGTACAGAACATCATTTGATACCCTTCACGAACTTTGACGAGCAGTGTTATAGTGAGTTTGTCAGTGTTGTGAATCATCTTCCCCTGAAAATAATGATAGCTTAGAAGTCTTCTCCACTTCAAAAAATACAAAGATCAAACTTACCAGTGTGAAACCTCATTTACAGACTTGCCCCAATCTTCGTTTAATGTTATCATTGATAAATTAATAAATTTGCATCTAAAAGGTGTTTGCCATTCTCAGGATGTTCCTGTCATTCAACACCTTTTGGACTATCATCTTGAGGTTGAAGAAGCTAAGTTCTCCCAACAGCAACTTCTGTCTAGTCCTACATTTATTTTTAGGATGTGTTTAACCTGATCTGGGCTTGATTTTCATATGGAAGATTTAAATTTGAATGCCTAAGCAAAGTACCATTATTTTATATTCTGTTACTAATCTGTTGAAGAGAAGAATGGATTTCTTCCTGAGGCAAATACTAGAAGCTTCCATTAGGAAGCATCTGTTTCCAGCCCACAATACTAGAATACAATTTTGGAAATTCAGCATAATATTCATCGTACTGCTTTAGTTTAGTTCCTGCAGCATTTGTTATTGCTCTTAAGATAATTCAAATTTTATTGAGCTCCATATTGTAATTTTAATACAGGCAAACATTAAAGACCTCACAAACATTACTATCCACTCTGGAAATAAATTTGCAGCAGATACTGAAGAAACTAAAGAAACTAACCTAAAAATTAAAGAAACTAAACTAAAGAAACATGGAAGTCCATACAGGACTGTGAAACTTGGGATGGAAGGGGCATGCCTTTTGTTAAGGGCTCTGCATGGTGGCTAACTGTCACAAATTCTTCAAGTTCTGTAACTTTTTTTTAATCTGTCTTGTTTAATCAAGGCCAGTTTTGGCAAAAGCCTAGCCCAAACCTTTGGTGTTGTACGTTTCTTCTTGCTCAAGATTTGCATTTGGTGAATGAACCTTTTTTTCATCCTGCATATATTTTGCTGTGGAAGTTACATGACTAGAGGCAGGTGGACTATTGCTCCTTAAAAATAACTTAATGGTACTTAAAAATTGATAATAAAATTCTGAGAAAGCTCACCTCCTCAGGAAGACCTGTTCAATATACCTTCTTTTCAGATAACTGGGGTGTAGCGGGGTGTGTGTATGGGGTGTGCAGGGGGGTTAGGATTGCCTCCAGTGAAGGTGGCTCGTGGTGGTCGCATTGCAACTCACCATCTGGTTCCGCTCCTCTGCTGTGAAGGTTCTGATGTTTTCCCTGTTCCGAACCAGAAGTGATGGTTGGAAGTAAGCCTACGTGGTTCTCATAGAGGAGATTTTTGTTAATTATTTTGAGATTCTTAAAACTTAAGTGATCTGTAAATAATACAGCAAATCTTCCCTGAATATATTACGAACCAACCAGTAACAACAGTAACAAAAAATACTATTCAGGTAACACTGCCACTATTACATTCCTGCTATAGGGGGAAAAAACCTCACATTCGGCTAACCTGGAATAAATTTTGCAGTCATGGTGCAATGAATGTAAAAGGAAATTAGCGAATTTGACTTGTTCAAAAACAGAATGAAAAACATGCAAATGTTTTAAATTGTTTTTAAATCACATATATGTTGTTGTGTTTAAAAATAAAGTTTAAAAAATGTTAATCGTTCCAGACCCTAACAAAGGGAAAGAAATTATTCATTGCAATATGTAGAGCTCAGTCAGGATCCCCCTTGAGTTTTGTAATAAGAAAGCCAAATTGCCTGAGCACTGCACACTTCATTTAGCTTTTCTGCAATTAAAAAATAATTGAAAAGCTCTTTTATTGCAGAAAGGCAGAGAGCCTGTAAATGCTTTGAATGGACAGTATTTATGTGGTAAGGTAAAGAATCTGTTGAGTACAAAGTTCATCCTGGAAAATAAAGTATGTTATTTATCTTATTTACATAACTCAATCTACAGACCAACTCACTACTGGAAAACATGTCATGTAGGAAAAAATACAAAAAAGTATTTTTAATTGAAATTTTCTGAAATGGAATGCATCTGAAACTGGGCTCTTTAGTTTTTTCAGCTTAGTATGACACTTAGCCGCATCCCTAATAAAGAACTCATTACTGAAAGCAGCACAGCAAATTACATTTTATTGTTTAAGGGTACAACTGGGATTAAAGGCAATCCCACAAAATGATAGGTCCATGTTAGTTTGCCCTATGAACCTACGTAAATGGACCTTTGTTCATGTTGAAGTTACATAAATGTTAAAATTTGCTCTATATGTAGTCCAGCAAAAAAATGTACCTTAACTTTGCCAGACTCCAAACCCTGGAGAAAGGAATACTAAAATGAGATTGTTTCACTGGTGTTTCTAAATGTCCAGAGATTTTCAAAATTATTCCTGGTGTGGTTTTCATGGTATTTTTAGTTCAGGATGAAGCTTGGTTCTTCACTGTGTATTTTTATTTTCTGTTATGTCCTATGGCTGCTTCTTCAAGTACATTTTTCCTTTCCACCACCCCCATCCCAAAATAGTTTTACTTAAAAATGTTGGAGAGAGCACTCTAAAGAAGTCATGTTCATGTGCTTTAAGAACTTTGCTGTTCAGTGACAGTAGTTATTTCCTGAAATAATTGTACACTATATTGTATTTGGCACATGCTTGTGAACTGTGTTTGCAGTTGAGTACCTTTGATGAACAAAGCAGAGGTATGTCTTTTGAGTAGTGTTTCATAAAAGGCTGATAAACATGCAGTCAGAATTAACATTTCAGTACTTATTTTGTCTTATTAAATACAATTGAGATGTTAAAACATATGTTACTTTGCTTAACTGTTGTGGATTGCTTTGATCAGAAAGAATCTGATAAGCTACACTGAAGAATATGGTTGTACTAGCTTTTGAAGATTTCTTTTTTTCTTAAACCTGCCTTTGCTCATTTTTTTAAAAAAATATTTTTTTACGATAACTAAGCAAATTTCTAAGTTATTAAAATGGAAGCTTTTTTTTTTTTTTGAAACAACAGACAAGCATAGTCAAGTATTCCTAAATATGTTTAGTCAAACAATTCCTAAACTAATATCCATTTAAATTAATTAGAATATTGGAATACATTCAACACCCTTTTTTAAGGGAACACAGTATCTGTTGGGATCCTGGGTATCAGTATCAAACATTCATAATTTTCCTTAAATTTACCAATTTAGAAGAAGATGTATAAATAGAAATTATGGTGTCAAGAATGACCTTCCTCTTCTACAACATAATCTGAAAGCACCTTTTAATCAATGTAATGTCTATTTTTTCAAGAAAAAAACGCCAGTTATTTCCTGGTTTTGATGCCAATTACATATTTAAGGAAGAAATTAAAAACTGGTTAAAAACAGAGAAATCCAATTACTTCTTTCTGTTATTATAGAACTGTTGATGATAACCAGGGTATTTCTTCAATAAAGTCCAGAGAAGATTAAAAAAGTTCGGTTTTGTTAAAGATGTGGCTTCTTCAGTCATGCTGAACAGGCCATTGGCTACAGCTGTGCAAAACTGCAATTGGGAATAAGACCTGAGCACCAGGACTGCAGTTTACTCTAAATTGCCTGGCTAGAACTTTAGAAGTAAGCATGCAAGCAGTTCTCCATGGCTGAGCTGCTCATGCTGATCTTCTCTGAAAGCGTGAGTGATTATCGATGTCTATAAAGTTATATCAGTTTAACTATATAGCTTTATCTAGTTAAACTTATGTGTACATAAACTGCATTAACCCTTGCTTGCATCGATTCTGCTGAAGTCAGGCTCTAGTCACAAGTTTCCTTCCTTGGGCATTTAAGGTGCATGTTAGATGTTTTATTAGTACATCTAGAAAACATAACAAGCCATGTATGGAGAAAATCTCATCCTAGAGCATCTATTAATTCTGTAACATTCTCATGGTATAGCAAGTGTCATCTTCATTTTGTCCAATTAGTCTATGTCAGTACACACCTGAGTCTTTTGCAGTAAGGTGGTTTGTAGGTCTCTCAAGTCCCTGAATGCCCTCACGCTGGTTAGGTCACTGGCTGGGTAAGCATGGAGAACTTTTCCTTCACACAGTTGAGACTCAAATAGAAATAAAGTAGATTAAGAATAGGGCTCTCTTCTAACTCTAGAAGACAGGCAGACACAAATGTCTGTGTGTAGAAGGTCCTTGAAAATGGCAGTTCTTTCATGGTACGGCAGATTTTCTTTTCCTGTTGAAGTAACACAAGAGAAATAGGATTCTTAAGTGTTAGGTGGTGGTATGCTGAAATATGGAATTAAGCGTCATTCTCACAACTGCAGAAGATTTGGTTGTGGCTGCCAGAATCTGTGGAGCAGAAGACCCATTCTTATTGGTAACACCACTATTTGTGTATTCAGTTGTAGCAGTCTCCTTACAAATCTGCAGTAGAGTTTCTGTATTGTTGATTTTGCCTGGAGGGTTGGTCTGATGTATTTTGATTGTCTAAAATTCATGTCAGCTGTCAATGAAAATTTTTTGGTATCTCTTAACTGCAAGTTTTTTGATCAGTGTCTGGCTGGGACCCAGCACTTGAAAAGATCATTCTTTACTCTCCTCAGAACATTTTTTTAGTCTGGTCAGAAAATGTTCTGTTGTATGAAAATTTGAGATACATCCTTCATCTAACCTTTATGACACCCATTGTGTTCAAGAATAATCTCCTTTTGTATGCACTTGTCCAGTGCTTGTGTGAATAAGCCTGGAAAAAAAATTGGTGTTTTCCTGTGCTACATCAACCCAAAGATTTGACATATGTAAGCTACCAGCTATAAGAATATCTGTTCATGATTTCCCTGTAGAAAGAAATGAAGCAAGACACTGCCTTTAATTACAGTTTCTGTTTCTCTTTAACTTTATTAAATCCTGTAGCTGTGGTCTTCTGTTAATGATGTCCTTTCTTCTATCTCACTCACTTTAATTTTAGACCTATCAAACTGTTGGTTAATGAGTCAGTTTTTGAGTTCATTACCTCTAACTTGTGTACTGTCATACACAGTATTTTCTAATCCAAATGAGTGTGTTTTTTACCTTGACCTGGACCAAGAAACTGATCAGTGGTGGCACCATTCCCTAAATACTCTATTCAACTTATGCATTTGTGTGTATGTTTTTCTTGATATGGATGTTGGACTTTTGAGTCAATTTGCTAGTGAAATTTTGCATTCTCAAATTCTCCAATAATAATTCTGGTAAACAGCAAGGCAAAGTTAACTTTGGACACAAGGAATCCCTATAAAATTGAAAAACCCCTGTTGTTCTTTCTTGGGAGTTTGTCTGTAGGTGTTGTGTGATGCTGCATTTTTGACTGTTAAAGCATTTCAGAAAGCTGTGTGCATAGATTTCTCCTCTGGCAGTGTACAGCCATGCGCTCATTAAAATGGAGATGGAGATGGTTTCTGTGAGTGTCATCCTCGAAGCGTGGCAGCTGATGCAAAGGCCCAGGGGAGCGGCGTTAGCCAAGGGCAGGTTGGAGGCAGCAAGGAGTTGGACTGGAGGGTAGACAGCAGGAGGAACCTGAGCTTCTGCAAGTGTGATTGTTGGAGCTGGAGTCCTTGCTGTGATCAGCTGCTGCTGTTCCTCAGCCCTCTGCTAGAAGTCTTCCCCTTCAGGTCTGCTAGATGAGCCTTTTGTAAGACTGTTATTTAACCATCCTGTTCACGGTTAGTTTCACAGCCTCTTGTTAGCCCTTCTAATTTAACTCAAGTCAAGGAGTGATCACCCATGCAGGTAAGTCGATAAATCTGAAGCGTGTTGATGACAAGCAGTTCCCAGTGGTCTGGGTGAAATAACCTGTATTAGGCACAGTGAGAACCAGCAAATGTATTGGAGAAGGAATGGTCTAGTCTCTTACCACTGTTCAGTAGCAACTTCTTATTCTTCGGCTGCATCTGTGTGTGAAAGCTACATTATTAGTATTCTAAATATATTGGTGTTTGTTTGATAATGGAGAATCAGTTGAAGCATCTGGACAATTTAACAGTATGGGAGAACATTGCAACAGCAAAAGAACATTTGCTGTCTTCTTGAAAGGAAGAAAAAGGTAGGATAGGAGGATAAAGCATCTCTGAAAAGAAGGAAGTCATAGAATAAATTAATTTTCTTTCAAAAAAATACCAAATAAATCTCCAAAATACCCAGTAGACGATCCATGATCAGTTAATCTTTAACAAGATCCTGGTGCACTTCTTGATTCTTGGGAAGGTAGTTTGTATATTTGCATCTGTAGGGCACAAAATTGTAACTAAGTATGTCCTTACATAGTTTATCTGTGTTAATCTTGAAGCCTGTAAAAATTGATAATGTATGTTTTATAAGGGAAGTCAGTGTGTCAACTGTAGTGTCAAAGGAGGGAAAGCAATTTTTCTGGATGGATTAAAAGCCTATTGAAGATGAAGATTACATTAATGAAAGACTAATAAAAATTGAATAGCTAGTTTGGATTTAGGCAGTTCTGCTAAGACTGGGAGAACGTTTCATAAACTCTTGCTTTCATTTTTTTTTTTTGTCTTAATTCTTGTTATTTTGTAACTTTCAGAAATCCTGCCAGAAACCTGTGGACAAATACATTGAGTATGATCCTGTTATCATCTTGATTAATGCTATTTTATGTAAAGCACAAGCATACAGGCACATTCTTTTCAATACAAAGATAAATGTAAGTTGCTATGCCCCTACTCTGTGACTTTTTTTGGTTAAAGTTCTATTTAGATTCAGTAAGTTGATTGTAATATTTGTAAAATTTTAGAGCCTGTTCTCCTGCTCCTCCACAGGTTCCAGCAAGCTGAACCAGTCATAGCATGAATAGAACACATGAAATCTCAAACTCCAGCTGTTACTAGGAAAGTTCCTGTCTCCACATTAGTGATGCCCCAATACCAGCAAATACAGCAGTCAGTCATCTTACATGTTAAAGAGAAGAGAAAGAACTGTATGGAATTGTTCATGCAGTTTTCTGTACCCTCTAATTTGCCTATCAATTGATTTTAAAAGGATGATGTGCTAAACTATATTGGAAGAGAAAGTTCTAATTTCAAATTAATTTTCAAATTAAATTTGTTGTAAACAATTCTTTCTACAATGAGCTGTAGTAATATATCACATCATATTGACAATACTATGCCAATTTCACATACTGTATTAATTTATTAGTTTCTTCCTGAGTAATTAACCATGGCCTCAAAACTGTAGCAACAGATAGTGCCTTTCACATGAAGCACTGTTAATGCAGTTATGTAGTCAACATAGGTGTGCTGGCCAATCTGGAGTGTAAAGGTATAGCTTTTCTCACAGCATTGCATATTTTTACTTTAAGGATTGATTTCCCCGGAGAGGGAAGCTAATCTAGAGCAAACCATTCAGGCATAAGTGTATGTTGTGTTCATGTAGGATTTTTCATTAATTCAGTGCTTTCAGAGACTGGTAATGATGTTTTCTGTGAGACTACTGGAAGAACTATTCCATCTGTGGAAATTTCATCTATTCAGCTAAACTGAGTTGAATTTTAAACTGGCTTAGCCTGTGCATGTATGTGCAACTGGCACAACTAGTATCTAATGAAAGAAGTAGAATCCATGCACAGAAATTGCGTTGGTTTACTTAAATCTGTATAAAATCACAATTCACCCCACATACACACTGGCGTAGAGACTGCTTAATGTAGAAACAAACTAACTGTGGGCCCTCACGACATCATTTTTGCAGTCACTTCAGAGGATATTTTTAAGTTTTGTTTGATTATATTGCTCTATTTATTTTTGGTACCTCACTCTTATCTGAACTAAGAAATATTTTTGGTATAACTACGCTACCAATTTCTTCTAATGAATATTGTTCCAGGGAAAAAGAGAAACAAGACTATTTAAACCAGTTCACTGAATGGAGTAGTTGCCCATAAACTGAAATTTTTTGATAGGACAATTCTGCTAGCTATGGCAGAATTTTGTTTTTATATTCCTAACTTCAACCGCTTTCCTGATTTTAAAAAGGTATAGAGCAGGCTTTAGAAATCACAGTTATATACCTTCTTCTGTATGGAACTGTTCATGCAGCTTGCTATACACTCCAATTTGTCTCTTGTTAACTGATGTTAAAAGGATGATGTGCTAAACTAGTGGCTCAACAGAAATAATTTTCTTATGTTTCTAAACAAAACTAATAAACCTACAGAGATTGTTTGTGTAGAGATTTTGAAATATATTTTAAATGCTAATTTCATACTAAAGCTTTTATTATTCTTTCATTTACCAGATTCATGGGAAGCTCTGCATATTTTGTTTGCTCTGTGAAGCTTATCTCAGGTGGTTGCAGCTACAGGATTCAAGCCAAAATACAGATCCTGATGACTTAATCAGATATGCCAAGGAATGGGATTTTTACCGAATGTTTGGTATAGCTTCTTTAGGTAAGATTGATGAGCCTTAAACAACTTAATAACTCTTTCAACAAGACCGTATTGCAAAAAATAGTATAGGATGGATGTCATGTCCAACCCAGTATGGTTAAACAATTATACATGTACTCTCTAATTTGCCTTCATTTAATGCAAATGCATATTTTGATCCTGATTACAATTCAGACTGATATGATCAGCATTAGTTATCGAAACACTGAAAAGTGGCAATATTCAGAAATCTTCACCTGAATCCATTTACATAATCTGAAGATCAGTGTAGAGCTCAGACTTATTCCATATTTCATGTTGACTTCAAGCTTTATTATTCATTAAAGTGATACAACATTAAGGATGATCCTTACAAGAGTAACAATAATTGGGGAAAAGGTGTATCTGCTTTTCTTTGTTCTTTTTATTGAATACACAAAAATACAGAGCAGTGTCATCACTGGTAAAGAGTAAATATTTCTGTGCTCTAAGACTACATTTGAAGGCAGGGGATGGTTTGGGGTTTTTTTTTTTTTTGGTTAATACTTTTATTCTCATACCTTTTCTGGTGATAGTGTTTAAATCAAGCCTGGAGACTAACACTAGTATTTTCCTTAGACATTCAGCATTTAATTTCTGAATTGTCTAATGTTGCTCTAAGTAGGTTTTTATAACATGTCAGTAAACAGGTTGGTACTCAGTTTTCAGTAGTAATTCACCTGTTACAGTTGTTGGGACAGTTGCTTTGACATCTGCATTAAGTCCAGTGTTACACAGGAACACAATGTCAAAAAAAGTCTTAATAGCTCAATGATATTTTCACCTTAGTGTTCTTTCTCATGCTGGATGGAAAGGGTTCATTGCTGGTGACCTTTTTAAAGAAGACAAGTATTGATTTTGTTCTACAGGCTAAGAGACAGTTGAAAAAACCTCTCCTTTTGTTAAAAACGATCAGTAAAGAGGTTCTTTTGCTAAACTTCCTGTGCTGTATGATGTCAGAAATTACAAGTATGGCAATCCTACAGATAGAATTCTGTAAGAATTATTCTGAATGTCATGATACTGAATTAGTTTAAGTAATAGTAACATTTGCCTACTAAAATGAACACAGAAGGTAGAAGTCATGTTCATATTTGTGTATGTCTTTTAAATGGTAGTGGTTCAGTTGCATTTGGAACATGTCATTTCACTGAGATTCATCCAAGAAAGGACTTGATTTTGGTGCTTCCTTCTCTCTCTCCAACTCCTCTTATTTCCTCTTAGAACAAACTTCATTTTTGGTTGGCATTTTTACTATGTTATGGTGGATGAGACCGGAGATGCTGAAAACAAAGTCTGACTTCATTTTACTTCTCAAAGCACTGCTGTTGTCCAGTTATGGAAAGCTTTTGCTAATTCCAGCTGTTATTTGGGAACATGACTACACGCCTTTGTGCCTTGCATTTATAAAAGTGTTTGTCTTGATATCAAACTCTCAGGCAATTAGAGGTACGTTTTTGCTTATTTGTTACTACGTTATTTATATAGGATGTGTGTGAGAGAATGCAGCTGTTATAGAAGTCATTATTACTATTGTTATATATTTTACTCAGTATCAGATGTGTGACTGAAATAGCTCTAGCTTAAAACTGTGTTATTTAGACTTTAATAGAAAGTGAATGAAACAAAACACTTTATTAAAATAAGAAAAAGCACCTCTTATTTCACCATCATCTCTTTGTATATGCTATATTATATCCATCAGATCCATCAGTTAGATTTTGAGACAACTCATCATGGATCACTGAAACAGAATTCTTTGTCTGGAAAATTAAAATTTCATGTTAACTTTATACATGGCTTTGGAATGCAGACTTTTAACAGATTTGTGTGATTTATTATACATACAAATTAATATGAATTCTCAAATGGTTTCTATGATCTTTTTAAAGGGTAAGTGATGAATGAATTCTGTTTTCTTTTGCAGTTACATTGAACTTGAACCGAATGCTCCCTTGGTTGGCCATCTTCTTTGGATTGATTTTGGAAAATGGTGTGGTCTGCTTGTTCCAGAAAATGGGACTAGACGTTTGAAACAAGAGCCCAGATCTGAAGAAGTACCAACAACATGATGATAATTTTCTAAGAATGACCTCTGCCAGAAGGTTCCAAAGACACTCTTTTCATAGTGATAAAGAAGGTGATAGATAACAAAAACTTGCATTAGTGGTGGGTAAGTGTAGAGAATTTTAGGATGAATTAAAATGAGAAACTTCAGAAGTTTGGGTATTTAATGTGGTAAGCCATAAAACTTCAGCTTTAACTTGTTTATTTTCCCATTTAAAAATATGAATGTGTCACTATCCTAATAGCTGTATAAATCTGGCTGCATCGCTATGGCTGTAACAAAAAAGGTACGCTAAGAAAATTCAGCACTGCTACCAGTCACTGCATTTTGGCAGAAGGAGGATAATGGATTGTTCCCTTAAGAGAAAGGAAGAGACTCAGTGGAAAAATGTAAAAGCCAAAATCGGTATTTCTGCAAAAACAGATTTTCAAAGAGAGAAGGGAACATGTGCAAACAGTTTATTAGAGAAAAGGCAAGTATTGCAGAATAAAACTCTAGGGTAATCTCTAGGAACTATAGTTTTAACTGGCTTGAAATTTTATGTGATCTCATAAATGCTGCTGCTTAATTCTGAAAGCTGAAGAGAGTGAAAGGACTCTGATCTCCAGCATACATGGTTGTTTAGGATACTGCTTCTTCTGCATTTAATATTAAGCCGCATCCCCCACACCCTGCCCTCATCTGGCAGCAGTGGAAGCAAAAATTGAAGTATGAGGCTGTCAGCAATCGAGTAGTAGTTGTTTAAAAAAAAAAAACAAAAACAAAAACAAAAAAAAACCCACCAAAACAAAAAAACACCCACACAAACCAAAACACTACAAAACAAAAAGCCTCATCATGTTTAGACCTAAATTAGTGAATTTATAGAAGTTCTGCACCTTTCTCCCCAGCAGGCAAAGAGAGTTCTAGGTGGCCTACAGAGGAACAGGCAAAATCAGTTTCTGCAACGCAGTAATTAGGACACAAACCTACTTCTGTGCAGACCAGTTTCTATTACGTTCCATCCAATGTTTAATTCTCCTGCTTCAGTTCTGGAAGTCTGTACCGTCTGTAAGTACTACTTCCATTCTTCATTTTCCTCAGATACAGTCTCCTGTATGTGTTTTACAAATGCATCGAATAACCTTTTTGCAACATTTCAAGTTAATTCCAAACAGATTTAGAGTAAGTCTAGGTTATGAGCACAGAAAACATCAGACAAACATGCCGCTGCCCATGCCAAGGTAAGTTAGTCAGAAAAGTAAATGGTTGCTGATTCTGTTTTAATAGGTCAGAGGCTGACACCACTCATGCCATTTCTGTTACACTTCACATTTTTTTGAACATGTAGAGAAGGCAAAAAAAACCCAGATTGCAACCTCTTTAAGTACGTGAGAGTTTAACACTGCAGCTGCTCTAGCAAGCACATAGTTGTGAAGGTGTACGAGGGAGCCACCTTGCTACTGGCGTGAATCAGTGGCCAGACAACTGAGTGTAGGCATGGAGTTGCGCACTGGCTGAGCAGCAGCTTTGGCAACACAGCACCTAAAACATGATTAGATTTGGGGAGAGACACCGCCCCCAAAAGCTTTTTTAAAAACAGTATCTTGCCAAAGGCGCTTTGAGTAGTGCTCATCTTCCTCCCACACCAGCACAACAGAGGCTGCAGGTTGAGAAGGTGCAAAGGGAAAGAGCAGTAGGTGTTTTAGAAAAGCTTTGGGGATACTGCCCTGACCTGCTTTCATTTTCCTCCTTCACCTTCTCCCTTGAGTTTAAGAGGGAATGAAGTCGTGCTGTAGCAGAGGGGATAACAGAAGAACATGTACTACGAAAACGCTGGTGCCTGCTGAGCCAGACCCTGTTTGTTGTTGTAGTTGTCATCTGGCTTTTACCCAGCTTTCTGTTCATCTTGGTGTATGACTTTAGCACTGCAGCTGATAAAGTTTCTCACCATTCTGTGTCCTTCTTCAGGAAATGTATGTTCTACTATCAGTTTTGTTTTTCTAATGATGTAACAACAGTGCTTTGGTTTGTTCCTCTTAGGTTATTTTTTTTTTATTATTAATCATACATGTCATGGTTATACACTAAAGAGTATTTTATTTTTCAGAAATTTCTCCCTTGTCTGCTCTGGCAGTGGTTTTAGTCTAAAGGCTGAGTGAGCACATTTAAGTGTGACTAATGCAGGGGGAAGATTGTGCATTACATGTAATGTAAATATTACCCAGTCAGCAGCAAAACTGTAAATACAATGTACATAAATTTTGTCTGGGGACAGTCTTCTTAAATTAAAGTTTATTTTGAATTTTTAAAAATTGATTTGGGGACATTTTCTGAGTTTTATTCAGAAGACCTAGAATGGACATGAACACGTTCCAAAAGAAGAAATGTGTATCTTTTGTGTCACATATGCCAATAACATATCAGTTATGCACTATGTGATGCTATCAGGAGTCAGCACTGTCCATGCCACTTTGAGGATGTAGAAGAAAATTAAAAGTTAGAGAGCTGTGGAACAAAAGCAGGTACTGTATAGGTTTTCAGTCTTCGGAGCCATCATTATTGTCTAGTAATGTAGTACATTCTGCCTTGTATGGTTTTATGGATACTCATTTACCAGAACTAACATGACAAATACACTAATATTTCATAAATCTAGAGGGAACTTAAGGATGCCTTCTGCGTGTGGGGGCAGGTGTGTGTACATTTTTGATGCCTTTGGAAAAGGGTTCCATATGGTACTTCAGAGAGAACTGAGACTATTTTAAGGTCCAGCCTGTTTAAAGCAGTCACATCTCTCTTGCCTTTGTTCATTTTTGTCTTTTGAACTTCCCCTCTTTCATAATCTCTTTGTAATTAAAGTCATCTGTGCTGGAGGAGGTATGACAAATAGCCTGCCCTTTCTGTATATCTTCAGTTGCTTCATTAACTTATGGGAAAGCATTTACTTGAGTTAAAATTGTAACAGGCTGCAAATGAACCCATGTAAACTCTTCTGAGTTTTGCTTGGAATCAAAGGGGATATTGTGGCCTGTGGGAAATTTGTGGGCCTATGGAGCAAATTCCAGAATTCTGTTGGATTAAAGTCACAGAAGAACCAGTGACGTTATTCAGACTTGGGTTGAGCAATGGTTTTGTGATTGCACAGTGGAAGCTGGGAACTTTAACTGAGTCCATAGGTCATGTCACAAGTATTTAGAAATTACTCTATACAAAATTGGACAATTAAGAGTACAAGCAATGAAGGGTTAAAAGAGAATGTAGGTGTCAGGCAGACTTCTACAAAATTAAGAGTTGAGAAGACTATAAAAACTTAGGGGATAGAATCTCAAGAAAAATTAATACGTAAGAAAAACTGTAGTATAGATGAGTGTGTGATTAAGCAGATATATTAATGTTCTAGTCCTAAGTTTTCAAAGGATGAACATGAAGGAAAAGTATTTATTGTGGACATTTTTGTAATAGTCTAAGTGATAACATGACGTGGCAAAGGATGTCTTCTAAACAGTAAAGTCTAAGGGTTTTCCTAGAAAAGTTACTGATAACCTCATGACTTCAATGGTTTGCACTCCATCCTTGAAAATACACTTTTATAAGCAGAATTACCAACTGTACAGAGATAGAATTAGTCACTGTGAGCAGGAAGAGCTGTGCAACAGCAGAGCTTCTCTCTTCATTCTGCAGTAGCGTGTGTTGCATTAGGTTTTGCTGGTGGAGACAAGGGCTACTACCCTTGTGACCTCGTGCATGTACAGACAAGCGAGTCCTTTCTTCCATGACATGTCATATCTCAGGCATATAAACTGCCATTTGTTAGCCCAGTCTTCACCGAACTGAAAGTAAAACAGGACATCTGCACTGGAAAACTATTAGCAGCTGATTTCTCAGAAAACAAGAAGGGCACTGTTTTTCAGGAGCCTGCATGCTTTTGCACTCCATCAGCTCACCCCCAGTTGGGTAGTGTTAAGCACCACAGTGCCATCTGGAGTTGGAAGGAAAGCACTATTGTTTCCAAAACTGGAGGGAACATGAAAGCACTCTAAGTACATAGTATTGGATTCATTTTTGTTTTGTAATCACAAATTCAAGCTTTTAAAATTAACATTCATTTTCAGTTTGGAGAAATGTTAGAGTGAAGTCAGTGATGAAAAGCAGGTCACAAAATACTTGTTTTGGTGACTTGGTATCAAGGTCCATTCAATATATGCGCCATGAAAGCTATAAAATGCAAATTATTTTAGCACAGCATCTCTTTAAGATGTAAACAGTCCTGCAAGCTGGGATTATTCTGAGTAGCCTTGCTGAGCTCAGAAAAAAATGATGTGGCAAAAGACATAGTGAATGCATTCCTCCACTGCTAAAAATCAGTAGGAATTTTATTGCTAAATTAATTTGAAACCCAGGTTGTTGCAGTTAGACTTTGCAGGAAGGTGTATATAACAAGATTCTCATTTTCTCTGCTGCCTCGTATAATGCTGTTCTGACCTTCTTAGTCTTTCCAATAATGCTTACTATGTTATTGAGGCAGCTAGAAAGAAGATCTGAAAAGGAGGAGCTTTGTAAAATCTGATTCCTAAACATGATCAGCTGTCCTAAATTTGTAAAGGTCTTTTGAGCCCTGTACAGATAAATGGCAGGTCTGCAAAGCAGCTAGGAAATAGTGCCAATTATGTTTTAATTGCTGTTCATTAAGATAATAGATATTGTTTGTTTGTTTTGTTTTGTTTTTTTCCCCTGGGTGAAAATGTGGTTTAAATTCCTTTACATAGTAGCATAGAAGTGTGAACTCATACAGTTTGTACATGTGCTGGCTGCTGCAGAAATATGTCCAGATGACCTCCATAATTTCTTGTACTCTGAGTACATTTTTAGGCAAAAGAACCATTGTCCAGAAACTGCACAGAAGTGTCTGCCATAGCTATCTGAGCAGAGGAGCGGGGATCTGAATTAAGACATGAATCCTAATCCTGGCTACAAGACTGACAGCTGCTGTGACCTTGAGCAAGTCCTATATGTGGCTCCATGAGTATACCTTCATGATTGCAGGATTTGGGGGAGGATTAATTTGTTTATGCCTGCATAAAAAAATGAAAAGCATCATGTCCTTTCCATTGCAGGTTGTTGGGAGTCAGTCAACACCATGAATGTCAGATATTGAAACAGACACGCCAGGAGCCAGAGAATGTGAATAATGAAGGTGACACAATATCTTAAGGGAAGCTTTAATTCTGACCTTTGCTGGCATACAGTTCTGTAACATACACATCTGAAGTCTTTTAGGGGTGTTTTAATTCTGACCCTTGCTGGCATACAGTTCTGTAACATACATACCTGAAGTCTTTTAGGGGTGTATATATAGCAAATCATGAATCCCGTATGAATTTTAAGTTACTGCAGCTGCTGTGTGCCAAAATAAATCTGAAATTAGTTTAAAAACTTGGAGGGGAGAGAACTGGCACATTACCTGATCTTAGTTTTAGCTACCTGAAAGGAAAATTAAGGTATCTTATTTGAGTTTGATGCTTTGAGGTAGAAAGCACGGGTAGACAGGTAGGTCTTGTGTAAAATTTATTTTTTAAAAAAATAGTACAAACCATTGGTATCCTTTCAGTAAATGAATACAGTAACATCACACAAATTTAAACAAGAAAAAAATCTCAGCACAGCAGCACTTCTACTCACCTTGCACTCTCTTCTCAGAACTGCTCATTCACTCTGTAAACACCTGTGGGTGTTACCTTTATAGGGATTCCCTGCCACACATGCTGTAGCCCATCCAATGCTGTCATGCAGGCATCATTCCTGAACTTTGATCCCTTTGCTCTCTCACTTCACTTCCAGTATAAAGCTTTGGTTCTAACCTTCAAAGCCACTGATGTATCATGATGTATCATGTCTTGGCTACAGCAGAGATGATAGCATCTCTTTCAGTAGGACTACAGCCTTCTTTGATCACCAGAAATCAAAAGCTAACAAAAGTGTAATAATAACTAGGAAGAAAACATTCTCCAGCAAGAGCATCCACTGTATAATAAAGTGCTGCATACCAGCAACAAGGAAAAAAAAGCTTGGAGTTTGCAGGATAGGGATCAAAAGTGAATGTATAACTTAGAGCATATGCCTGACCGATTTTTTTCAACAGGAATCTCTGTTCCCCTATGAGGACATTTCTCCTACTTAGTAGTGTGGAAGTGGCAGGTGGGTTGCATAGCATAATCCATTTTATTCCATCCTGGGAGAGTGTAAAACGAAAGTAAGTGCTGATTAGTGAAGAATTTTTTCAGCAAGGGTGGACAGACTATTAAAAAACCTTTCTTTTGGAAAAACAAATTAATTATGTTGTGGGTGAACACAATGGTAGGTACTTGTTTCTTTATATAACCACGTGGTAAGATTTAGTTTGTATTAAAACTTGCATATTTTCAAACTTTATCTTACACTTGTTTCATTTTTAAGTGAATATTTCCCTGAAAACTTTCCTGCTCAATTGAAACATGTAATTTATTTAAATGATGTGTGTGTGTAGATGGAGTGAGGGAAGGTCAGTCCTATTCTTAGAGCCTGTGTGTTTTCCACCTTATCTATGTAGGAAACTGTGCAGCTTCTGACCATATAAAGGTCCTACACTGAAAGAAAAGACCACTTGGGAGAAAGGTACCTTATCCCCACAGCAGTTTGACTATTGTGCAACAGGACAGATTGTATCAGTTTTTTGTTTTGGTTTGGTTTGTTTTTTTAAAAAAGTAATGTCCCTGATAAAACAGCATCAGAAACATATACAGATAACGTCTCCCTTCCCTTGTTGTTACTCATCTGCTTTCATTTTAAAAAATGCCAGCATGGTGATGCTAATCTAATTCAGCTGCAAAAGCGCTTTGACAGAAAGTTCAGAGAGATGTTTTTAATCCTCTACAATACATCCTGATAGAGAACAGCAAAGCAGGAAGCCCTCATGTGCAGATCCTTCCTTGCTATAATGGCAGGGTGGAAGGTGCTGTCTGTAATTTCATGCCATTGTACCAAAAAGCGCTGGCTCCTCTAAACTCCCCGCAGCAGCTGCTCCTGAAGGCTCAGCTCTTTGTCCTGAGCTGGCAGCTGCCTCTGCCACTGCCGCTGGGAACAGTTTTGTTTTCACAGAATCAGGGCTGGAAGTGGACTCAGAGGTCATCTGGTCCTTCCTCCAGATGTTAGTCTGGATGGGCACCCTTGACAGATGTTCTCCCTGGCAGGCAGAGATCCTGGCTCTGAGACACCAAAGCTACACCACCTTTCCTAGATTAGGAGATCTGTCAGCTCTTACTGCCTGTGGTGGCAG